TGAAATATGTTGCTTTTCCTAAAGATTTGTCTATTCGGTGGAATAGTTCTTATAAATTAATTAGAGTTCTTATTAGATATAAAGAACATTTTCCTGCTTTTTTAAAGGAATATGATAACTACATTTTAAACTCCGCTCACATCGACACTTGCGAAAAAATTTGTAATGTTTTGATATATTTTAATAATGCAACTGAAAGTTTTAGTCATGTTTATAAACCTACTTCAAACGAATTTATTCGTGAACTTGTTAATCTCGCTGGTGCTTTTAATGAATTTCAAAATGCCGATTATGTGAGCTATTTTTGTAGTTTTATGAAGGAAAAGTTTTTAAAAAATTATGCACATATTCCGCATATTTATGGTATTGCATTTATTCTCGATCCTCGTTATCGACTTGGTAATTTGGAACAATGTTACAAGTTCTATTATGATTCTTTTTAGGAAAAATTGACGGGAATAATCTGAACTATGACCCGTCCGCTTTTAATAATCCCTACTATCTATTATATCTGTTTAATCCGTACTTAGGGGTGTGTCTTCCGTTAGTAGACCATTACCGGTTGCTCTAATTAATAGGCGGTCATACACTCACGTGATAGGGCACGTGTATATTTAATACTCTTACCTTCCGTTTATCATCTTCGCATCTCTTCTTATCTATCTTCTTCGTTGCTGAATGAACATTATACGCTCGCTTCATCTATCTTCTCCTTGAGCTGCAACACAAATTACCTAATTTGTCTATTCATAGGAGTCGCCAGTTGAATGAGTTCACCGTCTTGGTCATCGTCTCGTGGGGGAAGGATGAAACCCAAATCGAGTGTTCAATTGAATGCGACCATGGGGTGTGTTGAAAACCTAGGCCCGTTTATCAATGGGTTAGGGATTATCCACCCATGGCGGTTGCAGATGAAAAGAAAAGGGAAAAGGGAAGAATAATAATCGACCATCTTGATGAGGAGAAAATAGATTTAGAAGACCAAATTGCAAAGTTGAAAAAGAAGAATCAAAAGCTCAAAGCAAAAATTGAGGAGCTGCAGGGGTTAGTTTCCAAGCATGCGAAAGGAGAGAAATGCTCATTTATTGGTCTGCTTATCTCTTGGATTGTGTTTGTTGTTGTGTTGTATGGGAACTCCAAGTGATGACTATGTTATTGTTGATGGTGTGTACCGTGTATTGTTAGATTAGTAGAAGTGTGTGAACTATGAAGTGTTGTATGAGAGGAGAATGTTATAGTACTAGTATGTTTTTGCTGTGTGTTTTAATTGTGGCTTAATGCAAACCTTATTCCTAAAAAAATCAGCTTCATTTTTGTGATGTGTATAAGAATAGTGTTGTTGGTGTTTGTTGTTACTAAAATCTGATTAAAATGTTTGTGATATTAACACTGAAATCTGAATGATAAAAACACTCTAAAATCTGCTAAGAATGTGTTTCCAAGATGAGAGATAGCCCACCAAGCTGCAGAGAACAAGGTGGCTCTTTTCTAGACAAAAATGCTGAAGTTGGCAAAAAAAACAGAGAATAAATTGTACCATCTCAATGCTAGAACCAATAGAATGCACGCTCAAGCCACTATTAACTTAAAAGAGAGTCATAAAAACCTTCTGCTAGAGCCAATGGATTGCATAGTCTAGCTGCTCTGGAAAGAGAAGCTGGAGGATAAGGGAAAAGATCAAAGGATGAAAAGTGGTACACAATGCAGCCACATTCCTCCAGGTTCCCAACTGTGGTCTTTACTCCATAATTCCACCAGTCACTTCTAGAGTCTAGAAAGCCTTAAAACATGAAAGCCATGAACTCTCAGGGAGATTTTACTTCTAGCAATAATGACAAGTGGAGCACTTAATTGTGTTGTTTTTTCAAGCAATGGACAGTAGTTTCAAAAGAGGAAGATGACTCAATTGATAACACATCATGAGGACCAACTTTATCAATTGCATCTGCAATCATGATGCCAATGACCTCTTTATTGCCAGCTGAGATTAAAGCAATCGCTTTAATATCCTCACAACCTTTAACTGGCCTAGCTTTGAATTCAAGTGCTTCTACCAAGCCATGTATAGTTTTACTCTTTACTCCATTATTTAAAACAAAAGTTGCAGATGGTAATAAAATGTGATAAGAGTGTAAACAAAAGAAGTGAAAAGGAGCTAATAAGTTCTGGAAACAGAATCCTCATTCTCATGCTGATACAATTAAGTGAAAAGGATGCTTTAAGTAATGAAAAAATGGAGTAACTAAGAAAACCGCAAGCTGTGCTATATATTTGAACAAGAAAACCACAAATGAATGACCTGTAATAAGGTTCCAAGAGATGAGTTCCAGAACTAACTAGGAAATCTCATGATCATTCATAAACCACACATGAAAAACCGTATTCAACATTAATAAACCACCATATTCAACTTTAATACACCACCATGTCCAACAATAATAAACCACCATATTCAACATGAAATAAGTACATTAGATAACATATTACAACAAAAGTAATTTGTTTGCCAAACCAGTTAAATATTACATATAATCAACTAACAAGTAATGATGACATATAATCTTTACTTTTACAAAATCCCACTTCCCAGGTACATAGTACAAGTAATATACTGAAACACACAAAATTCCTTGTAAACTTCAGTCCCACATTATTCCTCACACGCTTCATGTATCTGATAGATTCCTTTGTTCTCCATGTTGTCCAGGACTCTGTGAACACTTAAGTAAAGTTAGGCCAAGTAGTTATAAATTGCATGTAAAAAGTAAATATATTTTCTTACATTACTCCAAGTATGTCCTTGGTCATCAATAATTCCACATATCCCACAGGAATTTGTCCCCTTCCTCTGCGTTCTGAGCTTCTTCCTCTCCACACTATTTAAAGACATCCCATTTTCTTTGACTTACAACCTAAATTGAAAACACCAAAAGGCAGTACATTGTAATATATAAGATAGCACAAATAACAAATAACTCTAGACAGACAGACATGCTGTACTAACCAAATAACTCAGCTAATTATCCCAGAATAACTCAAATAACTCAGCTAATCCTATACCAAAAGGTAGTACATTGTAACATATAGGATAACACAAAGCATTACTTTTGTAAGAGAGACGTTGTTTTGGTAAATAAAACCCTACAAATCCAATTTGAAGCAATTTCCTTAAATCAACTCACTACTATAACCCTAAATACACAATGTATCAACCAGTTCTAATTATCCCAGAATAACTCAAAGTAATCAACAAATCCTATACCATACAAGCTCAATTACAATTCTACTCCACCCCAGTAAAATATAATTCGAAAAGTTTTTCAATTTACCTATCGTATCACTTTTAACCTTTGACCGTGTGTGACTCAGCTTCACCTTTGAGCTTCTTCCCTTGGCGACTCACTTCGCCTTTCAGATTCTTCCCTTCGCAAAGACGAGTCAGATGAGCGAACACAAAGATATAAACAAGATTCACAGTACAAAAATTGATATTTTACAGAACATTTATGATATTGCTTTGAAGAAGATGAAGACTCACCTGTTACGCAGAAGAAGCAGCTGAAGAAGCATTAACTTTTGGCAAAGTGAAGCGCGGATGAGGATAAGGTTCACGGTTTTTTTTTTAAATTTTGACCGTCTCAACCGGTGTCAGGTCATTGCGGTCTACTAAGGGAAGACACACCCCTAAGTACGGATTAAACAGATATAACAGATAGTAGGGATTATTAAAAGCGGACGAGTCATAGTTCGGATTATTCCAGTCAATTTTTCCTTCTTTTTATGGTGATTTTCCAATGTATGAAGATAACCCTATAGATCCGCAATCTGAATACAACGAGGTTAGTAGTTTATTTTATTCTTTATTTAATGAGTTTCGTGCACAATATGGCAACGCGCCCCCTCCCCCAACCCAAACATCTTCATCTAAAGGAAAAGGACTTTTTAAATCTGCATTTGGCAATCTTATGAAAAAAACTAAAACAACGCACACTACTGAACAAAGCACAATTAATGAGATTGCTTTGTATACTAACTATGAGGTTGAGTTTGTAGAAAATGAAGAATTTGACGTCCTAAAGTGGTGGAAGTAAAAAAAAAGAATGTTCCCGATTTTAGCACGGATGGCTAAGCAAGTACTATCAATGCCGGTTTCAACAGTTGCCGTGGAACAAGAATTTAATTCGGACGGCAACGTCCTAACTAAATCGAGAACGTGTTTGAGTGCCGAATCTCTTGAGACGCTTATATACTACCACGATTGGTTGAAGGCAAGACGTAGAACTCAAGAACTTAGCATCACCCTCTCCCAAGACTTTATGGATGAATCAACCGAGGGTGGTTCTACCTATGCCGGGGATTCCGATTGATTAGTATTTTACAATTTATTATTTTATCCTCAATTCTCTATTGTAATTTGTCAACTTGTAGATTTGTAGTTCAGATTTCAAATCAATAAAAGTTATATTTTTTTATATGTCGCATTTTTTTACAACTTACAACTTACAACAAATTAATTACGGAGTATATTATATTATTATTACTTAATACAAAATGTATTAGAATTAAATGATCTCAATTCTCAAAATGTACTTATTACTTATTTCACATAAATGTACTTCAAGATTGTTTTTAATATCCAAGATTCCAAGTAGATGTATAAGACTATAAGTTAAAAAAAAAAATTATTCAAGGCCCAACCCGACCCGCCGGTTCACCCGGCCCGGGGCCCGGCCGGGTCACCCGGCCCGAACCGGCACCCGCATACAGGCGGGCCGGGCCCGGGCCTTACATTTCCGAACTGAGGCCCGGCCGGGCCCAGGCCCTGTATAACTTTATTGTACTGTACAATAAAGTAATCCGTTGATAATATCGAACTCCGCACTTATGTATCAAACATAGTACTCCGTATAACTTTTGTTTCACTAATCGTACTACTCTTGAAACAGAATCTGTTTAATTTTCGTAAATTTTGTTTTCAAATAAACAGAAAACACAAACACCCGATATTGAAAGCGCCCTAAAAAAGAAACTTATTAAAGAGTGACTTATTGTTTTGGAAAACTAACATAATAATTATTAAATAGAAAAGCCGCAATACACATAGTTTTGTTAGTCAGTAATAGTCAAATGGCGCCAAAAGAGCAATGTTACATCTTACAACAAGCAGAGGGAACAGTATCCATAACTCATTAATCGGTTGAGCAATAAATAAGGTGTGATAGAGCATCCTAAATCTTCGGTCACAACAGAAAATACAATTTGGCAGTTGTTTGCACATCAGTACATGTATACACAAGACAAATAACCCCATCAGGCTAGCCCATGCAGGCAAACTGCTTTTTTGCATGTTCTGGTATCAATTTTGATAGGAGTTCTGGTGTTGCTCCTTTTAGCTCTGTAAATAAAATCACATCAGAAGATTTGAGGCAATGTATCCTAAACAGGCTACCTCTGGTCTTTTTGGATCACAGAAAATGATGATGAAAGAAAATATAGAGGTAGATGTATGAGAATTTTGGAAAGGCAATGTGAGGTAAATAGAACAGGCTACCTCTGGTCTTTTTGAATCACAGAAAATGATGATGAAAGAAAATATAGAGGTAGATATATGAGAATTTTGGAAAGGCAATGTGACTCACATTATGTGAGGTAAATAGAACATTTGCTCATAATCAATAAATTTGTTTTTAATAATTGTTCACACTCGTTTAATTTATTTCTGTTACAAAAAGACTAAGAAATCTAAAGATGGCTAAAGGAAATTTAAAAACATTTCCAATGGCATTTTTGGAGGTAAATTAAACACAATAAACAACCTATGAAATTTTTATCCTTTACCTACCCATTCTGATGATCTAAACAATGCCTAAATTTAAGTGTTGGCAGATGTACAGGAGGATGAGAAGGATATGAAAACAAACCTTGAGGCCGGAAGTTAAACAGAGGTGGCAAAGGACGGCCATTGGGAAGACGGGTATTAGGATCACGAAGTTCATTGAAGAACGGATGAATACAAGCCTCCAACTGCCAATAGAAAAAAGGCAACCAACACAAAAGCATGGTCAAAGCCTCACACATATTAAGCCTAAGAAACAAAGAGAAATCTAAGAGGGTTCCGTAGCCAAAAGTGGCTTATTCTGCTTATAAGAAGAAGAATATAAAGGGACAAACATATTAAGTAGTTATTGATTTATTTATTAGGCTGAAATGGATGTATGTGATTATTTATAGCTTTTCTAGTTTTAGCAGGTTTGGAGTTGGCCATATCAGCCAAATAACCCTTTGCCAAACAGAGTTTAGATATGCAATTCTTGCTGATCAAATATTGCCCACATACTCACCGCAGTGCACCTAAGATATGGAGAGTACTGGAGAAGCCTTGAGACCAGATCCACAGCTTCAGGTGGCATGCGCTTATGAAAGATCTGTGTGCAAGAATATATGATAAGAAATTAAGGCATGTAACTTTGATGTGGATGAAAAAATAACAAAAAGATCAGAATTTCTCTTACTTTGTGCCAGGGGTGAGCCTTGATTTGCGGGAACTTAAATTCTGTGTAATTTGGATTCATACATTTTATTTCCTCACGTGTTGGGGTCCCAAGCACCTGAACAAGGGATATATAAACATAAGTATATTTATGTATATTAACTGTAGTTGCTCCAAACACTTGAAAATCATCAATCCTTGTTATATTTTTCGAATGTATTTGTTCATTCAACTAAAGGTAACATATTAAGCTAGTTTAAAATGCTTTAGAAATACTTGCTTTGTACGCAATAAAATAAGCCCTTCATAAAAAGTTGATCTTTTAAAGAAAAATAATAGATTTCAAAGTTGACTATTTTTCAGGAGCAGAGTATAAACCAAGCGCAAATAGATTTACACTATACTTGAAGTATACCTTGATTATTTCAACAAGTTGATCAACGCCGCTATCACCAGGAAAGAGGGGCTATAATTTTGGGTGGAGAAAAAACAGAAAAGCATGATTGGATCAGTTCTAATAACATTGTTAACATAATTCACATTACAAACAATTTTTGCAGCTTGATTAGAACCTGCCCAAGAAGTAATTCTGCTAGAACACAGCCAACAGACCAAATGTCAATGGCAGATGTGTATTCAGTTGCTCCAAATATCAGCTCAGGTGCACGATAATAGCGAGAACATATGTATGAAATGTTGGGTTCACCTTTCACCTGTTACAATGAGATATTGCTTAATGCGTTTCCTGGTTTGTTGGGGTGGACTAACTGTATATTTGCATTATATGCATGGATTTAATAACAGAGATCATTATTTAGAACATGCAGGATATACCAAGTTAGTATAAAGTAAATGCCAAAGTCATTTATTTGTTACCATGTAAAAAATGAAACTGTTATTAGCTGATAACCTGACACAAACACAAATATTGATGTTTTTGTCTTTTATTATGTGACATGGGTGCATAGTGCATCACAAATATGTATTCCCTAGATATGCCATATATTTTATTGTATGCTACAGTGGCGGGAATCAAGAGGCAGTCTGGGGGACAACAGTTGAATAATTACCAGAACTTTGGCACTTCCAAAATCACAGAGCTTTAGTTGATGGGTGTGAGGATTGACCTGTAAAAGTGAAAGATGCATGTGAGATACATAAGCATTCGCACCTTAGGGAATTCAAAAGAAGACAAAAACAGGTACGAACCAATAGATTTTGAGGCTTTATATCCCTGTGACAAACCCCAATCCCGTGGATGTAAGCCAAAGATCTAAAGATCTGTCAAAATATTGACATTGATAAGCAATGTGTAATCATTGAATCAAATTCAGTGCAAGACCCAACTAAAACGTTGCTTGCTTTCAATCTTTCATGCATAATAAATGGTTAATAAAAGGGTGGTATGTGAGCAATTTTCTAAAATCAACTTATAAATGTTTATAGCTCTATAATGCTTCTCAGGTAGGTTTTAAGAAAGAAAGTTTGGGAAAAAAGTTACTAGTTATGGTTAAGGAAACTGGCTTAACCTGATAAATATAGAGCTTGACATAAATCATAGGCATCCTCTGGTTTGCTTTACTGTAGTGTCTTGAGACACGGTACAATGTCTCTGGTACATACTCAAGTACTAAATTGAGGTAAAGCTCGTCTTTCTCCGTAGTTGAAAAGAAACAGTGCTTGAGTGAAATGACATTAGGATGATCAAGAAGACGCATTGTCTGAAGTTCCCTGTTCTTATATCTCTTATCCTGCAACACCTTTTTTATCGCAACTGTTTCCCCCGTTTCAAGGCACTTAGCCTGCAAAATGACCCAGACATTATGGAGATGTTTAAGTTATATGACAGTACGAAGGTTCTACAAACGGCCTGGAAATTTAGAATTTTCTGCAAAACATCTTTATGAGGTTATCAACTTATGTAAAAGTTACCTGAAAGACAATTCCAAAAGAACCCTGTCCAACAACCTGCTCTGCCATGTAGCTGATGGTCTGGATATTAAAAAGACAACATTTTTTTGTTAATGAATCCATAGTTTTGTTGAAAAAATATCTAGACCACTATTTGAGTAGTAGTTAAATATTAATCTTAAGAACGAGACATTGCTATGAACAAGATAAGCAGGCTGAATAATCAAAAGTTGGAAAGCAATTATGTTTATTCACTGGTCATTGGTAAACATGTTCGGTCAAACCTATGAGAGCACCAAGTTGTAATCTGACCATTATAACCCCACACACACCATAAAGTAGACGGGGTAAACTGTCCCTATACATCACCTCAACTAAAATCACAACACTAATTTCAATTATTAAAGATCAGATCTACATTTTTACCTGCTTAGGTTGGCCATTTTTTCCCCCAATAGTTGTTACAATTATGTGGCCTGATTCAGTTCCATTTCCATCCACTATAGTAGCTTCCATTTCCTGTCAAAGAAAAAAATATGACCTGTTTATTTAAAAATGAACACAGTTAGAACAAAAGGATTAAAATTAACAGTCCTGCCATAAAGATCAACCTTTTCCTGCTTATCATCTTTGATTTTCATCTCATTGATTTCTCCAGGAAGCTTGTCAACAAGCATTGCGTCATATTTTGGTTTTACAGCAACCGAGCTCATCTTAGCACCAGAAGCCACACAAGTTTACTCAAACAAGAAAAATTGCTCAAAGTGCAGACGTCAGCATCTTCAACCCTGGATCAGATAGTCAACAAAACTTCCGTTGAGTAAACCGAGCTTGATAATCCATTACTTAACAAATCAAAGTCAGCTAAACGAAGAATCTAGCTAGCAGCTCAAACACGTTGAAACACTGGAACCAGAGAAAGAACGTGACGGGTGAACAGTAATAATCAGCTCGACCAAACGAAGTATGACGCGTACCTGAGAAATGAGATTTGGTAACATTCCAGTGCGAGAGAAGAAGCTTGGAGTCGATGAAGAAGGAAATTAGAAACACTAGATAAAATTATTGAAGAGTAGAGAGAGAAAGAGAGGGAAATAGCGTGAGGGGTACAGCTTCCAAGGACACTCTTTTACAAAGAGCTTTGACTGGAATTTCTTTCTCTCCCCCAGGATTTCAGATGGGGTGAGCCGCGGACCCCAAACTATATTATCAATTCCAGCTGATTACGGTTTCGGAATTCGTACCGGGGCATGACGTGGCGTTTCTGTTGTCAAGTCCGCCATTATTGAATTTGACTGGTGGCTGGCATTTTGTCCCGGATCAGGATTTCATTACTTGCCGTTGATTTCCCCAGCTCATCGCGACCGTAGGATACACAAATTTGACAGACTAGGAGCGATTTTCTTCCCATGGCCTTTCCCATTTTCTCCAACTACGGAATACACCATCTCCTCAGTTTCTATGCGTTTTCTCCATTTTCATCATGGCAAAGATAATTTGTTTAAAAAGTATAGAAATTTTGATATTTTATACGGAGTACAAATCTCTGTAAACACAAGAAATGTATAGAGCATTTATTTTTCTGTAAATCATTTTCAATAATCTACTCAGAATTTGTGACATTATTTTTTAGAAAATTAACAATTAAGTCATGGATGGGATCACAAAATATTGGTAAATGAGAGTGTAAACAATCCGCATTTATAAAAAAATACATAATATATACACGATATCATGAAACATTGTTGTTGGTTCTTAGTCTTTGCTACGGTTGACATATGATAAACGAAACGATTATTCAACTCCGTCTCATTGACCTTATCAGTTTTATTTTTGTATCAAAAAAATTGTAATTTTTCATTAACCAATTTGTGATTCTGCTTATTTTTCTTATTTCTCACCTAATTCAAATATTACAAAGTACAATGTGGTACGAGTAATATTAAAAATTGTCATTATTTGTATAGAAACTGAATTCATAAAGTAAGGAGTACGGAATACGAATGAGAGCATGTTTGGTAATGGCTTCAACGACTAAAATGGCCTAATCTGCTGAAATGGTTGAATGACTTGAATCTGTTAAAGTGAAAATGTTTAGTGATATATTGGTTGCAATGACTGTTTGAATGTAAAATTATACGGAGTACTACGTATATTAGTTTTTGGATAGAACTTTAAAAAATACAAATATGCTCTTACATCGAAGCACATCAATCCAGATGATCATGAATAGAGAAAGAGGCATTTTGCAAAACTAGGTCTCGAGAAGCATTTGAGGCACTTTGGTCATCACCTTAAAATCTACTCACCAAACCCACAACGCATCCATACCATTTCTATTCTCTATATGTCCAACAAGTGAAATACCCAGTACTATCGTATATATTATGAGTATGAAAAAAGTTCAGAAGCACTACTTAAAACAAGCGAATGAAGACTTCGAGCAAGGCTCTAATATATGGAGCACAACTTACCATTATTGGACTTCAAAATTCAATTCTTGAGCAACGATTCCCACCAGTTTCCCCGATACAATAAAAAGGTAAAAGGGTCTTTGCCATTAGACCTGCACAAAATCGGACTTGGGCATATATATTTACCCATCGGGCCGGGCCAAACCCGGCTCGCAATAACATATGGGCGAGCTTGAGTTATGGTGTAGGTCCGTTCGGGTCGATAAGCCCGGTCCGCTACATTTAGTGTGTGTGTTTATTTATTTATTTACACGTACACATGTATATTTTTATTTACTAATATAATTTATCTTTATACATATTTATAGTTTATTGTGTTTAAATTTAAGTTTTTAGTTGTTAACAACTAGCAAAACTAAAATAGTATCTATTTTTGTACTTAAAGATAATACTTTGTGCTTGAATTTTAAATTTGAGATATAGTTTCTCATTATAATTTTTGTGTAAGTATTATTTTTGTATGTGGTGAAAGGCCTATAAACATTATAAGTATATTAACAATTTTTTAAATGTTGTAATATTATTTTTAAAGTATTAAAAAATTATATGATTTAATATTATTTTGAAGTTTTTCTGGGCCGGGCGGCCCGGTAGACTACCCGACCCGCTCTTACGGGTGGGTATGGACATGGGATTAAGCCCGTTTTTGCGGGTCGGGCCGGGCTCGCCCACACATGATAGACAAAAAAATTATAAAAAGCCCGGTCCGAGCCCGGCCCGAACCCGTTTTTGTGCAGGCCTATTTGCCATACCCAACAAAAAAATACTCCGTATTTCACTAGGTGGACATATAAAAAAGTAACATGAGGCTTGTTTTTCAAGCTGGTATGGAAAATCAGCCAAAATATCCCAATACATACTTGTGTGGCATTTTTCTTTTCTACTTTCAGATTGATCAGCCAAATTTTTGCCTTCCAAATGGCCTCTCATATTAGAATCAAATAAATATTGGTAAACGTAGTATGAGAAAAGCTGAATGGAATACACAAAAATTGAAATATGAAACAAAGATATCATTGAGACAACATGTTTAGTTATTTTTCTTTTAATGAAGTAAAACGTCGTAAATTCGTAATGACATAATCTATCGAGATTGACTCTGTCTTTAGGCTAGAGATATAAATATATGCAGATTGAAAGCTAATCAAATTACAGTAAGAGTTAACATCTTTAATTTCAACATTCAACTCGGTTTTTGGGAAATCCATGAATTGTCCAATTTCAATTTTACCTTTAAACCTTTTTCCATGTAATAATCATAACAATTATAACAATAATGGTAAAAATAGTAGTACAAAAAGTATAGGTAAAGTGACATTATCATGCATACGACCTCGTACTATGAGGATCAAGCCAATGAGAGAGGATATATTGTGAGTGTCTGACAATTACCTTGATTGATGATAACATATTTTGTTGCCAGATTTGATTAGTTAATAGGATTGGTAGTTTGTAAAATGGTGTTTGGATAAATGTTTGTTTATAACTAGTTTGATAACTTGTTAAATGAGTTTTAATGACTTGATTTTTATTAATGTAATAAGTACAACTGCATAAACCATTTTTATGATTTTTAGAAAAATAAAAAAGTACTAACAAGAGTAATAATTATTTTTAACATTGTTTTTCACGAATTAGCATATTTAATTGGTATTATTAATTTCCTTAGGAATAAAATTCCTTATATAGATGTTTAATTTGTTAACGTAGTGTTTAGATGGTTAAACGTTACAATTAGGGGCCTTTAATTTGTTAAAGTAGTGTTTAATTTGACTTGAAAATTTGAGTGAATGTTTGAGTTAATTTATAAAATGATTTCCCTCAAAGCAACATTTGTTATCTAAATGCTTAGTAAACAAAAGTCAAATGGTAAACAACTTTTGTTTTGACCATCACAACAAATGAGGAACAAATATATTGGATCGGAAGAGATTCGACAGAATACGTGGGTATGACTGTATGAGGATAGAATAGGAATATAATCAATATATATATATATATACTCCGTATAAAAGAGAAACTTTTAAGAGCATACAGAGTGTCACATAACTATGTCATGTAATCATATATAACTATTATTTAATTACTTTCTATATCTTTTATTTTCTTGGAATATTACGTTTTGTATACCATCTTATTTGGTAACTCTTATTTGTATAAAATCTGATTTTATTCGGCACTCTAAATCTGATTTAGAAACACAAAGCTATGTAATCTGATTATTCATCATCTTTTAATTTCTAATTTCATATTTTAGAAACAAAAAGCTACGTAACTTTGGAGTAAACTTTTAGTATATTTTATGTTTCTGAATTTAAAGCTACGTAACTTTGGAGTAAACTTTTAGTATATTTTATGTTTCTAAATTTAGAATTAGAAACATAAAAACTACCTAAAGTGCATATGTAGGCTATTATAAATACAAAGAGAATGTAAACAAAAGTGTATTTTCACTATTGACTTTTTCCTTAGTTCGAAGAATTCGATTGTTTAGCCTTCTTATATCAAGAATGTCATCACAATAAGTTTTTACAGCATTTTTATTGATATATTATTGAATACTATGTACATATGATACTTTACCATTCACATGATACATGATATTATTATGCATTATACCTGATTGATTAATATTCCATAAAATGAAGAAGTTATTCCCTAATACGTTAACTTGATTCATCCAAGTCCGACTGGACAATCAAAGTTCGTGTTACACGCCTCTGTGGTGTCATCAATCACAAAAGGCAGGGAAGTTTAATTGGTCTAGACATGGTTCTGATCGATGAAGAGGTATACTTTTTTTTAATTTCGATTTTTAATGCATTTGTTTTACAAAAAAAATCTAATGATATTTTTCATGATTGTAGGGTGATTATGTTCATGCATCTATAAAAAGTGGATATGTTCATACATTACGTCCCAAAATAAATGAAGGAATGATACACATCATAAAAAAAATCTCGGTGGTTCCAAATAAAGAAGAGTATTGTGTTGTAGCCGATAATAAAATCATGATACAATTCTTTCATAACACTATCATCAAAGAAGTTAAAGGAGAAGCAATTGAAGTGCCGAATTATAAATTTGACTTCAGAGGCTATATTTTTGCGTTTCTAAATTCGGATTTTAGAAACATAAATTCAGAACTTTACAAATTTACGTAGGCTTTATTTTGTGTTTCTATATTCCGATTTTAGAAACATAAAAATTACGTAGAATTGAACTCTTGCTATTATAAAAATGAAGAGAATGTAAACTAATGTTTGCTTTCATAGTTTCACTATTCAGTTTTATAAATTTCAGTTTTGATCGAGTTTCTCCTTCGTTTGAGGAGTTCAATTGTTTAGAGATCATATAGCAGGAATATCATCACAGTAAGTTTATAGAAGTAATGAAAAAATGATAATTTTCATGATTGCAGGGTGATTATGTTCATGCATCTATAAAAAGTGGATATGTATGGAACTAAAGGGTTAATCATTTTCAGCATAGCAGTCGATTCGATCAATTTTAGTGTTATCAAATAAGTTCTATATTAAATTAAAGGGTTTTACTTTTTTCAATTAAGTCCTATCCGGATTAAAACGTCTGTCTCTGTTAATGTATGTCAGGATAAAATGATATTTGTATATGAAGTTGTTATTTTGCATGATGAGTAAAGAGTCTAATGGATAAAACAATCAATTTAGTATTGTTCTTAGAT